GCGTGGGCTTCGCAGCCCCATATTTGTCACTTTGAGAGTCGCATCCCGCCCCCTTTCGACGCATGGAGTGGGGCGGCAACACCACCATGACACGGGCAGTCCCCACGCGCGGCAAAGCCGGCCAAGCGAACACGCAACTTCCATGTCGCCGGCTCCGCCAGCGGGGATCACCACTCAAGCACCTCCCACACCCCTGCGAACCCGCGACGCGAATGATGCCGTAGACCGGCGTTGCCAACCAGTCAAGCACGCGCTGCATTTGCGCCGCCCCGTTGACTCAAGAAACCGGCGGTGAGCAGGACTGCAGGGCGGAGAATGCAAAAAACCCTGCACGTGATTGTTTGTTGCTGGACGATGCCCTCCCATGCTACACCGTCCATTAGCAGGGGGCAGACACTTCACAGTGGCGCTCCTCAGACAGTCAGGCAGACACAGGAAATATATTCAACGCCACAGCAACTTTCTGCGGGGCCGCGCAGCGCATCGTCATCGTTGTTCCTTTGCACGCCGCTCACAGCCAACGCGCAAAGGCGCCTTCATCACGCACCTCATTCCCCTTCTCCTCCCTCTTTCCCATCATGAAGGAAAAAAAAGAACAACAAGAACGAAAGTGTGAGACAGCGTTGCAGGCAGCACGAGGCTAGTAGAAAAAATAAACAAATAAACCTCTGGAAATAATCATCTCCCTCCACCGTTTTACTTTTTTGTTTTGTTTTAGTTTTACCCCCAATCTCGCAACACGCCTTGGAACGGGGCTGTACGTGCGGGTGGGTCTTCGGCGACACCGCCGTGAAAACAAAAAAAACGACAACCAAAAACACGCCATGAGAGCGCGTATTTCCCCCAGTTTGTTTCCCCCGTCCGCTTTATTTTATTTATTTTTTTCCTTTTTTGCTTTCCCATGCGGAGGCGGTGTTCACACAAATAAATTAAACTCCCGCAGTAGACCTTACAACCTTTTTTTTTTATTCTCTCTGCGGTGTCTGCTTGTGGAAAAAGCAGCCAAATTTATCTAGGGCAGGGCAGACACGAAAACAAAACACTACAACAAACTCAAAACAAGCTCAAAACAAACAAACAAGGCCACGCATGCACGGCTGCCGCAAATCAATACATACAGACGGGCAGATACATTGCTACGTGCCGTGGAAAGGGAAGAGAAAAATAATAAAAGAAGGGATAAGAAAATAATGATAAAGAAAGTGATGTGCGGGCGTGTTACCACGTGCACATCGCCTGCCGGCGTGCAGCTACTGCACTGGGGCACCGGCCTCACGAGAATCGCTTAATGGTGCTGTAGACGGTGCTACCGGTGCCGAACACAATTGCCACTACACCAGCGACAAGAATGAAGTATGTCAGGAAGTACTGCACTGCCCCAACGCTCTTGTATGACCAGTTCCCCGAGTACATTATGAACAACGCGGGAAAGACAAAGCCAATAAAGCCGCCGCAAAACGCCCCCACCAGGCCAAAGACAATGTTGATGTCGGGCAGAAAGAGGCCAAACAAGAGTGCCCCGACAGCAAATGTGACGCTGAAGATGCTATGCTTCCAGTACGGCATCGTGTCCACATCCCACTGCATGGTTTGGAAGAGAGCGGTGCGGCATGCCAGCATATTGAGTGAAAAGGCAGCGCAAAGCTTCACAATGATGCCAATGAAGCACACGAAAAAGGCAGGGGCTGTGTAGGGGTTGAAGTAGGTCAATATAGACCCAGACACCTCTGGCCCAAACTCCGCATAGCCAAAGAACCCAATCAAAAAGTAAAGCAGACAGCAAATGCCGCAGCTAGCCGCCGCATCACGCGTCATGTTTGCGACAGAGCGGCATCGCATTTCGTAATAAATTTTAAAGCAATTTACTTGGCACAGGTACGCAAACATGAAGAGAGCAAGCCCCGAGACGGCGCTGTTGCCTGGGCGGAACAGCACGAGATCCGAGCGCAGGTGGCCGTCCGCAGCAATTTTCTGCACTGAGTGCACCACAACACATCCAACAAAAAGGATAATAAACAGCACCCCGACAGCCGAGGCGTAGCGGAGCGAGTTGACTTGCTTTGGGAGCACAAGGGGAAATATGAAGAGAATCCAGATGCAGCTCATTATCAGGCGCCGCCCGCTGTCTGTCTTGAGGTACTCAGGCACACCCTTGTGGGCCAGGATGGGGCGAAGGACGTCGCCCACGGCCACCATGTATCCGATGGCGCCACCAAAGCAGAGGAGCCAGATCAGCAGCGCCACAGCGATGTCCGCGCCACGCCCAAGGAGGCCACGCGCCAAGGATTCAAAACTTCGGTATCCCGTACGCTCCGACGCCGCCACAAGCAGATGGATGGAGAACACCGTCAACGCCGTCACCGCCAGCAAATACACCATCGCCATGACCATTCCGGAGGTATTGAAGGCGGACGGAATAGAGATAATTCCGGCCCCAAGCGTGACGCTCGCGAGATTCAGCATACCAGACAGTGCTCCTCCCCTGGGCACAATGATGTTGACAAGTCGCAGCAGCCAGTGTTTTGGCGCCTGCTGGGGGCTTTCCTTTGGGTACATTTCCACATCAGGGCACAGTTCCGGAGGCATCGGCAACTGTGTTCCCAACGCAGCGTTCTTTTCTGATGCAGCGTTTGATGCTGGCGGTATCAAGACTGCTGTGGGCTCGGGGCTC